CCTCTTACACTTCGTGACATTGAATCTCAGCAGCCATTCCTTCGACCATTCTTGGAGCCCACAGAGGTCCTTCTGCAGCTCTTCACAGTCAGCTTGGTTCTTAATTTCCCAAAATAACTTAGCGTCATCGGCTAACATTTGTATGGAGGAGTGTACAACGTCAGGCATGTCATTTATGAAAGAAAGAAACAACAGCGGGCCCAATACACTGCCCTGTGGTACCCCACTTATGGTACGGATGACGATTTCGTGCCATTAATCACCACACACTGCTTGCGGTCATGTAGAAAGTCTTCTATCCATGCTACGACATTTCCCTGAATTCCGTACCCTTCCAGTTTGATTTTCAGCCTTTCATGGGGTACACTGTCGAAAGCCTTGGCAAAATCTAGGTAAATATTGTCGATATTACCACCCCGTTCCAGAATATGGGTCCAAATATCCAATACCTTGAGCAATTGTGTTAAGCAGGAGCGCTCCGGCATAAAACCGTGTTGGCAATCCTTTACAAGATTGCTTTGTATTATATGTTCCATTGCGGCATCTCTGATAATACTCTCAAGTACTTTACATATTATGCTGGTCAGGCTCACCGGTCTATAGTTGTTCGTGGAGTGACGATCGCCCTTCTTGAAGATAGGACTCACATAAGCCACTTTCCATTCACTGGGGACCATTTGTTCATCCAGGCATTTACAAAACAGGCTCTTCAGGGGCTCGGCAAGCTCGTTGCACAACTCTCTTAGCACTCTAGGATGCACCATGTCAGGTCCGGGACTCTTATGGACCTTTAGCCTGGACAGTTTATTTCTAATACCCTCCTCTGTGAACACAATGTGGGTCAGTGCTGTGTCGAGCCGTCTGTGCTCAAACGCAGGAAGGTTAGTTACATCCTCTCTTGTGAACACTGAGGAAAAGAAGCTGTTCAAAGCCTCAGCTTTATCCTGGTCAGAATCTGCGTAACTACCATCCACCAGCCTCATGTCTGATACTCCTACTCGCGTTTTCAATTTCGACTTTGCATAGCGGTAAAACGCCTTTGGGTTTGACTTGACCTCGCTTGCAACCAGCCTCTGGAACTCCTTTTCAGCCCTCCTACACTCTATCTTTGCTTGGTTTCTGGCTCTTGCATACATCCTCCTGTCTTGCTCATCGTTTGACCCAACCCACGTCTTGAATTCTGGGTTTTCTTCTTAATTTTGTCGACCGCCGCATGGTTCATGTGTATGGATTCCCTCGTATTCCTAGAAGCACTGGGTTTGGTCTTGGGTATATATTTATCGATCAAATGGGTCATTTTACTAGTTATGATATTCAGCGTAGTGTCTGCGTTCTTGTACCTTAATAAGTCAGGCCAGTTGATACCCCTCATCCCATTGTAATTTCCCTTGTAATATTTGCACCTCGGCCTGGCCTTATCCTGAACTAGGTAACAGTTAAATCTGAATGACAACACTATATGGTGACTGGTGCCAACTGGGGCAAGGTGTTCCAGTTTGGCCTCCGTACCCTCCTCGTTTGTTATGATGAGGTCTAGTGGCTTGGGTGTTTGCTCCCCTCTATAATGTGTCGGGTCTCTAACATGTTGGAACTGAAAATTATCCCTCAGAGTTTCTACAAAAAGAGTAGCAGGGTTATTCAAGTCATTCGGGGTGGACTCATTTCTCCAGTCGATGTCGCCATAGTTAAAGTCCCCCATGATAAGGAGGTGGCTAGGGTTGAGCATCGCCGCATTGTTTATTAAGGTTCTTAAGTTCCTTTGATTTGGTGGGCCACAGTTTGGGGATCTGTAGATACACCCGACGATAAGTAAGTCTCCTCCCTTTAATTTAATTTTACACCACTTGGACTCTTCAAAAACATCCTCTCCCTGTACCCTCGCCTGGCTGGCTCTAAAGTCTTGCCTAGCGTAGATAACCACACCCCTCTTGCAAGTTTCTTGAGAAAGGTTCGTAAATGAGTCATATCCAGCAATACTGAACTCACATTCCTCTGGGTCGATTCTCCTGTTCTTGTACAACAGTTCTACAACACCTAACAATAGACCTTCTATTCAAAGTAGTCGCTGGACACCTATCTGTGACCGTCAGTGTAACAGATCAGGCTAATTTTCTACGTCTATCTTTATGATCTAATCAGAGATTGAGTTTGTCAGGAAAGAGGTGAAATGGAGTTATATATGTATTCGCAACTCTACTGGCCTGACAGCAAACCACAGCCCAGGCCGAAACAGCCGTTAAGTCTTGGAGAATTTTGGGTTTGACAGGAAACGTTCAGGAGATTAATGACTTTCTTAAATAGACAACTGACAATAACTAAACTATAAACATAAGATTCTCTGATGTCTGGTCGACAAAATAATATTACTTCAGTCACGATCAGAAACTCGTGGGTATCCCCACGGACGACATAAAATATGCCACTATAGCTGGCAAACTCGACACTCACTTATTTGACAAGTTTTACTAACAATAAGGACAGTTGAAGCTTTCAACACCACTCACAATGGATCTTGAATGTTCCAACTGTAAACAGACATATCTAGGTTGCCTCACCAATTGCAACCACAGTTGCAATTTCAAATTCTGTCATTACTAAGGAATAATGAAGTCTCGGGTACATTCAAGATTGAGAGAAAACGGCAGACTCAGGCGTCCTGAAGCGCTGAGAAAACGGACTGTTCAGATGGGGAACTTCACTAAGAAAGCATAGGTACATGTTTTGTGGGCTATTGAACGTAATATGAATCGTCTAATTTTACGTTAACTGACGTGTATGACCGTGGTCATTACAACCTAACCTAAGATGATCTTATGTAATCACTGTCCAATTTCTGCTGCTCAACAACGAAGGCCCGAATGCTGAACACGCTTTGTTACAAAGACACAACACGACCTGATCCGCGCACCTAACGCCTTACCAGAAGGGGAGCAGTCATTGAACCTAAGTTTAATTGTTGTGAGTGAAGGTTCAAAGTGTCACATTATCCAGATTTGATTTTAATAAATATTGATTCATAGAATGTGTGTATCATCGCTCATTCCTTCTAAAAATTGCCATCCCTGAAAATATAACACTGTAACTCACGCGCCTACCCTCTCGTGTCTACCCTTTTAATGATAGCGTTTATTTTCAAAAGAAAAGCTTCTTTGGTGGTGGTCTACTATGTAAGTATAATAGTTATATTAATGTGTAATGTTAGACAGTGAGGTGGTTGTCCCAGGTTAATCTACAGAATAGAATACTGTACTGTATAACTAAGCACATGAAAATAAAAGTAAGTAGGAGGGAATACACCAATAAATAAAAATATTAAATGAAATAAACAATAAGTAAGAAAATAAAGATATAGAAAATAAATAAATAAGAACATTGAAAGAGACTTACAAAAAAAAATTAGAAAATATTGAAAGAACTACAATAAATGAAGAAAAGAAACTTAGAACTGAATTAGAAAGTAAATAAGAAAACAAGAGAAAAATAACCAAGAAATGGTTACTTTTACTTGATCATCTTCACCACTGATCGGCTCGTTAGCCGCTTGGGTGATCGGTCACGTCTCTGATTACTTTTCCTTTTCTTTTATCCTCTTCACCAAAAGATTGGCTCGTTAGCCGCTTGGGTGATCGGTCACGTCTCTGATTACTTTTCCTTTTCTTTTATCCTCTTCACCAAAAGATTGGCTCGTTAGCCGCCTGGGTGATCGGTCACGTCTCTGTCACGCACTGTTGGCAAGTACTGGGCATGCACCGGCTCCTGAATGTACCTCAACCTGCTCCAGTGTTGGTCAAGTCTTGTCTTGAAAGAGCTCACACTCGGTGCCGTCATAACACTCTCTGGTAGATTGTTCCAAGAGTTCACAACTCTGACTCCGAAAAAGTTTGCCCTCACAGTTTTCTGGACTTGCGGCTTCTTCAATCTTGAGCTGTGACCCCTTGTGGGGCGAGCGTCCGCCAGCTCCAAGTTAGGACACTCGACTAAGTAGTGCCCCTTGAAATGCTTATACACCTCAATTAGGTCACCCCATGCCCGTCTGTAGTATAAGCTAGGTAAGTTCAGGCGCATTGTTATCCAGTGTGACACTACCAAACATTAAAGGTTTCCACCAGGTACTGTCACCCCGTTGGTCCCCGAGATATGCTAGGGACTGTCAGTTGGTTGAAAATGTTCAAAGGAGGGCCAACAGACTGGTGCCTGCACTTCAGCACCTCAGCTACCCTGAGAGATTGGAGCGCCTGAACTTGCCTAGCTTATACGACAGACGGGCAAGGGGTGACCTAACTGGGGTGTATAAGCATCTCAAGGGGCACTACTCAGTCGAGTGTCCTTACTTGGAGCTGGCGGACGCTCGCCCCACAAGGGGTCACAGCTCAAGATTGAAGAAGCCGCAAGTCCAGAAAACTGTGAGGGCAAACTTTTTCGGAGTCAGAGTTGTGAACTCTTGGAATAATCTACCAGAAAGTGTTATGACGGCACCGAGTGTGAGCTCTTTCAAGACAAGACTTGACCAACAGTGGAGCGGGTTCAGGTACATTCAGGCAAGGTAGGTAGATACCTACCTACCTTCCTACCTTGCATTCAGGAGCCAGTGCATGCCCAATACTTGCCAACAGTGCGTAACAGAGACGTGACCGATCGCCCAAGTGGCTAACAAGCCGATCAGTGGTGAAGAGGATAAAAAAAGTAAAGGTACAGAAGTGTACTACAGTTTCTTCCTGTACGAACACTGGACAATAAAGGTCTAACAAAACTAACTTAAAACAGACAAACTGTCCGAACGGATAATTTTCTGATAAGTGGTAAAATAATATATATACAAATTAAGTCATCAAATAATGATAACCGATGGCAGAGAAAGTCAAATCAGTGTAAAATGTGGGTGTTACCGTTTAAAAAGTCACCATTTTCTAGCACTCCAAGGACAATTCTCTGTTAGTCCTGGCTTGTCTAACAGATGGCAGCAGTGTTGGATTCCTAAAGGCAATAGACTGGAGGTAGCTAGTATTAAAACCTTCCTTGGGTCACTCCTGTCTTGGCTCAGCTGATCACATCACACGTAATTGACTCATACATACACGCACTCTCAAAACACAGTAGACACTTCATCATCGCAATATCATTAAAAAGCAGTTAACTTATAAAAGGTGAGAGTACTGCCAGCTTGTAATCACTGTTTAATTCATAATAGAATTCTGGTATGGTTGTTTAAGTATTGGACATTGATTATCAATTTGTGTATCTACCGTAGTTGGGTAATATTGCAGTACACAACAACCACAGAATTCCTCAAATTCACTACTGTACACTCAATCGATAGAACTATTTTTTTCTGTGATAATTTTCATATATTACATTAGGTTAGGTAACATTTTTTTTATCATTCTTTGGTTGCTGTAATCTGCAATTTTACCCATCGTTCTTAAAGTATACAGTAGTTTATATAGTTTTTGGGTGAATGGTTACGACTAAATTGTACAGTAAAATTTTGGTGAATTTATAGTATCATACTGGTTTTTATTTCTGTATTAAAAATATGTATTTTGTGATGTGGTAAAGGTGTAGAAGAGGGTGACCACCAGAAGAAATTGTCCGAATTGGTTGAAAATTTTTCACACTGTGGTAAATAAAACACTTGGTTGCTGTCCGACTAATTACCCAATTGTACCCAAATGTAGTCGCAATGAAGTCAAATGATGGTCCTACAAGCGTAAATCGGGCTGTGAATCACTTCTCGATTATTAATTGGTGTCATAAAGTCACAAAAAAGTGGTAAACTTAATTTAATCCGAGTTGTGTTAGGTTAGGTTAGGTTAGGTTAGGTACATGCACTCGATCTATTAACTCCGATTAAATTAACTGTACCAATTTTTTGTGACTTCGTGACCCCAAATACTAGTCGAGGTTAGGTTAGGTTAGGTTAGGTTAGGTTAGGTACACGCACTCGATCTATTAACTCAGATTAAATTAAGTTTACCGATTTTTTGTGACTTCGTGACACCAAATACTAGTCGAGGTTAAGTTAGGTTAGGTTAGGCTAGGCTAGGCTAGGCTAGGCTAGGCTAGGCTAGGCTAGGCTAGGCTAGGTTAGGTTAGGTACACGCACTTGATCTATTAACTAACTGACTCACCATATGATTGAATCACCTATTTCTTACCTTATTGGCCTGGTTGCTGACGTTGATTCTCACTTAACGGGGGGTATAGGCGGACGAGTTATGACAACGCCACAAATGTTGTTCTTTGCGGTATTTACAATGTCTTGCACTTAAGACACTTTACTGAGGTTGAAAGAACACCATGCAATCGAAAAAATGCTATAGTTTCTTCGTTTTTTTCCCAAAAACTCGCAATCAGCTCCATATAATTGAAGTGACACCCATCGCAGACTTTCATGGTCGGAAATTAATTTGAATTTCGAAATATGATACCCAAAATAAAACTCGAATTTGATTGGGCCAAAAATATCGCGAATTAAACCCAAAATCATTTTCATTGGTTGCAAAAAAAAAACGCTTTTGATTGGCTGCGTGACGTGTACGGGAATGCATGCGCGTGATGATTTATGAAGGAGACACGTAGTGTGGGAGGTGAGGTAGGCGATAATGGCGGAAGATTAATGGAAGAAAATAGAGAAAATTTTGGATACTCTTTCTCCGTTATAAATTTCCGCCTGTAATGTAATAGATGAAAATTATCTTATAATTAGACGTCTTATTCGAATATGATAATAGATTAGTGGTAGGAATGTGTGGTGTGTAAACGCAATAATACCGTATTTTCCCTAATGGTATTTTAAAAATATCACACACTAATATGATGCTAAACACAGAAATGGAAACGAAAATGTATAGAACCTAATAGAACCTGACAATCTTTTTATTTACCCTATCCTTCTTCACAATTCTCCTCCCGGCACCATTTTTGTTGTTTACTTCGCTGAATCCCTCTTCAAGAGACACTTCCTATGAATGATGGTGAATGCTTTTTTGTATTCCTTCTCACCATTGCTGTTGTATATCAATCTCAATATTAAGGTAAGTTGTTTAACACATAAATTAACATGATAATGCATAGAACCTAATAGAACCTGATCTAACAAACCCTTAGGTTGGGTATGTTAAGTCAGGTTCTATGTATTGTCATTTCCATTTTTGTGTTTAATATGATTTTAGTGTGTAGAAAAATTTCAACCAATTCGAACACCTCCTTCTGGTGGTCAACCTCTTCTACACCTTTACCCGTAATGTTTACACAATTCTAAGACATTTTTCTTCTATGAAATTTCCGCCGGAAATTAAGGATAACCGAGATATTAATTTTTCAAGATTATTACTTTCGCTCAGTCACTAGTGTCGCCATGATTTGTTTACTTATGGCGCAGGTGGTCTGACCCCCTGCTCACACATTGCTCCAGGCCTCTGATGGGGGGGTTAGGTTAGGTTAGGTTAGGTTAGGTTAGGTTAGGTTAGGTTAGGTTAGGTTAGGTTTTCTTGGTTGGCTGGTAATATAGCTTATGTTATTTATTCTAAAAAAAATCCAAAATTTTTGTTATGATTGTTGGGTGGGGGGGGATCTAAAAAAACATGTGATTTCTGGTGGAAATAAATATCAAATTCGTTTGAAACTCATCAAAATACATAGGAAATACCTATTTTTAATATCAAAATAAAGACCGGTGTGATACTATAAATTTACCAAAATTTCACTTATTGGCACTATACGAAATCGAAGTTGAAACTGTTTTTCCTATGGTTTTTGATGTGTTATGAATGAATTTGATCTTTATTTTTGGCACAAATCAATAGTTTCTGAGATAATCCTCCCCCCACCTCCTATCTCAGAATCTACCGTAGATTTGCTATAAGAATCAATGTTAAAAGTGTTCAAAACACATAAAGGTGAATTTATAGTAATACACCGGTCTTTCTCTCGCTGTTTTTTAATACAGTATGTATTTCATAATGTTTAGACAATTCTAAGTTGCCGTTCAAAAAGCTGAAGTTTCATCACAAAGGCACGAATGCAGTTATAAAACTGTCACCAATTTATTGCGTCCTTGCATCTTTGTATTCAAGTAATTTAAGTGTTCTGTAATATCCACCATGAAAGTTAGATCTTGAACCCATTCATTACCTTTCAGTTCATGCAAATTGCTTCCATTCTGTTCCATAAACATCTGTATTTCACTGCGCAATTCATAAAATCGCTTCGGTACGACTCCCCGACTTAACCAGCAAACACCAGTGTGATATGGCAGTCCGTGTGTGTTCCTATTTTCCTCCAATAAGCAGTTGAACTGTCTGTGGTTCAGACCTTGCGTGCATATGAAGTTCACTGTCTTTATAACAACATCCATGACATTATCCATCTTTTAATGTTTTACTACACAACACTTCTTTATGTATAATACAATGCACATTATAAATTTGATGGTTTGGGTTCACAGCTATTAGTTTTTCCTTTAATTTTGTTGCCACGCCAGCTTTTCTACCCACCATTTGCGGTGCTCCATCTGTAGCCAGACTCACAGTTTGTGCTCAGTCAACACCTAATTTATCCAGTGTTCCTACCAAACCCACAAAGATGTCATCACCTGTTGTTCCTTTCATTGGTACCAGTTTCACAAATTCTTCTGTTACCTGCATATTTTCATCCACACCACGTATAAAAACTGCAAGTCGTGCTACATCACTTACATCGGTACTTTCATCAATTGCAACTGAAAATGCAGTAAAGGACTTAACTTTGTCTTTGAGTTAATATTCTCTGATAATTCACCAATTCTTTCTGCAACTGTATTTCTTGAGAGGCTTATGTTTGCAAATGCTTGACGTTTTTCCGGGCAAATATCTTCTGAAGCCATCAATGTACATTTCTTTATAAAGTTCCCCTCAGAAAATGGCTTCGATGACACAGCTATTTCATGGGCAATCCTGTAACTTGCCTGAACTGCAGCATCACTGACTTGATGAACACTCTTAAATACTGACCGCTGCTTTTTCAATGACTGCTCCAACTCCTTAACTTTGTCTTCATGTAACTTTCCACTATATTTATTGCCTGCGAACGTTGTAATCTTTGGCCACAGCAACTTGTTGATTACAAATCAAACATGTCGGTTTAACATTCATTTCAACAAAAAAGTATAAGATTTTCCACTTATCCTGTTCCACCCGACGCTCTTCATTAACTGTTATTTTCTTTGAAAACATAATTATGGGCCCAAAAGTAAAAACAATGATCACTGTAGATGGAATTCCAGACAGCAGCAAGATGACCAACTAACTGTTTACCTCAGATATATTGAAAATGACAGTCCTGTTGAAATATTTTTGACATTCATACGGTAAATAGTTGTGGGAAAACAGGAGAAAAAATGGTAATTGCATTGTTACAGTTTTTTGATTAAGTTGGACTGGATATTCAGAATTGTAGGGGTCAATCTCATGATAATACAGCGAGTATGAGTGGAAAATTCAATGGTATGCATATTCATCTCACTAGGCAATGTGGTCTAGTTACATGTGACTTGGTCAGCTCATTCATTGAATTTGGTTGGGGAAACTGCAGTTCAGTGTTGTCAAGGTGTTATAATATTTTGTGATTATATACAAAATATACACTTATTTCTGTGAATAAACAGGACGTTGACTGAAGCTGAAGAACAATCAAATGTTGTCTGATACTACAGTAGACGGCCTTCCCATATTGATGCCACAAAGGCCATTCTGTCTAGTTATGATGTCATCAGTGAAATTTTGGAAAACATCATTGAAGATGATGAAGCAGTTGTCAATAAATGTACAGCTACTCGAATACTAAATACAATGTCCCAGCTTGTGACAGGCATGTTTATTAGTCTTTGGCACACCATCCTGGAATACTTCAATGCAACAAGCAAGAAACTCTTAAGAAGAAAATGTTCAACCGAATACTGTCATCCGGCTTCTGAAATCATCAGTCAGTTTTGTACATTCATTGAGAGATTAATCTGATGATTGAGAAAATTGGTACTGAGACTTCTGGAAATAAGGAATATTCAAATGAGAGAATAATACTCTGTAAAACCCCTCCACTTTTCAAACGGTAAAAAAGAGAAATTGTCTCCAAGCGATATTTTCAGAAAGAAACACTTTATTCCAGAGATTGATTGTCTGTTGGTACAGCTAGAGAAACTAATTGAAGCATAATTTGAGTTGAATAATAAGTTTGTATTTCTGCAGGATTTAATTGAAATCACTGAATATGATCTCAGAGTGAAATGTGAATATCTTGATGTGTACTCATTAGATTTGGAGAGTATCCTTGGTACAGAGTTGCTACAATTTTGCCATATTCAAAATAACTTTTAATCAAAGACTGGAATCAACATTTCCAAACAGACATATTTCTACAGATTTATCTGAGTCTTGTGGTAACAAATTGCTCTGGAGAAACATTCTTTTCAAACCTGAAATACCGTGCATATGTGAAAAATCGTCTCCGATCAACTACAACTCAAATTTTTTTTAGTTAATCTGGAACTTATGAGTTATGGAATTTGATGTACAGGTGCTCCTCTACTTACGAACGAGTTACGTTCCTGAGGCTTGTTTGTATGTCCAACTTTACTCTTGTAGATACCAAACATATTATAAAAAATTGAAAGATTATGGATATTTAGTACAGGTATACTCTTTAATACAGCCTTAAAACCTGGCTCACTCTTCTCCGCTAAGGTAATGTTTGTTCCATCTGGAATTTTCTTCAAAATAATCCAGTCTCATCCACATTAAACACCTGTTCTGGCAAGTAACCCCCCTCAGTGATGATGTTTGTATCTCTGAAAGTTTGTAAGTTGAACGTTCCTAAATAGAGGAGCACCTGTACTGGAGAACATTGATTTTGGCAAGATGATTCAAACATTTTCTGGTAAAAAGGCAAGTTTGATATAAAAGTAATAAATAAAAAAAATATAGTTTGTTCATTTTGTTCATGTCTATTATTTATGTCCTATTTACTACATATAAATAAATTGTATAATTTATTATGATATATTTCGATTATCAATATAAAATATATATATATATATATATATATATATATATATATATATATATATATATATATATATATATATATATATATATATATATATATATATATATATATATATATATATATATATATATATATATATATATATATATATATATGCATGCAAATAAATCACTGTGAGTGCTGAATACAAATTGTATGCTGATAACCACAAGGGAAAGAAAACAAAGTTCCCAAAAGCTTTAGTGTAATTCACATCTTCAGGTTGGTGCTCACAGATGTGAATTATGATAACATATATATATATATATATATATACAGTATATATATATATATATATATATATATATATATATATATATATATATATATATATACAAGTATATATATATATATATATATATATATATATATATATATATATATATATATATATATATATACAGTATATTATATATATATATATATATATATATATAACTGCTACATATATCCTTGATAAAATCACACGGGAAAATGGAAACAACGGAGTACCTTAGCTTTCGTCTTTATTCAAGACATCTTCAGAGGCAACTGGATTACATGGACAGAGAGAGGCTTAAATATACAGGGTGACCTATATATATATATATATATATATATATATCTCTTGATAAAATCACACGGGAAAATGGAAACAACGGAGTACCTTAGCTTTCGTCTTTATTCAAGACATCTTCAGAGGCAACTGGATTACATGGACAGAGAGAGGCTTAAATATACAGGGTGACCTAAAAACATGAGGTCAGGTCATAATGATGACATCCACTAATCCCCACCCCAACACACACGTAGAGGAGCTTAAGAGAAGGGTGGTGACGTGACTAGCCAGGTCAGGTCAGAAAAAAGGGACCCACAAAATAACTATCATACATCTAGATCAAAGGTTTTCAAAGCATTTTTAACCTTGGGCCACTGACAAATAAATTTATGTAACATATTATCAGTTTTGAACTGACCATCACTAAGGTTTATTGATTTTAATTCCTTAATCAAACTAGCTTCAACCAGAAGTCTTTCTGTGACACAAGATGATTTGAATACTTCTAAGCTTTTTTCCCAAGCAATGGGGTGATTATTATTCCTAACATGAACGAACAAGGCACTGCTTTCAGATGCAGTTCTGATATTATACTTATGTTGTTTGATTCTGAGCTGCAGTGTTTTTCCTGTCTGACCTACATAATTACAATTACATTTGCTACATGGAATACAATAAACACTTCCATTTACATTCAAACTTGGGCTATTCCTTATTAACATATTGGTAATGGTTGAGTCATACTTGAAAACAACATTAATATTTAGAAGCTTGAGGATTTACATGAAATATATATATATATATATATATATACACATACACACACAGTAGTACCCTGATTTACGCGGTCAATTGAACCCACAGGGTACCGCGTAAAATGAACAACAGAACATATGGGATTAATTCCAATAGAGACTGGCCCGACCCCCAAACTCCACTTTTTGACGACACACAACTATGTTGTAGTAAAAATATTATCTTAACTTTATGATGGTATGCACACACAATTAATAATTAAGAGAAATATCAATATTAGTTTTTTAACACTTACATTAGTAGAAAAGATGGCTGGGCACACGGGGATGGGGGGTTGGTTCCGAGGCAGAGGGCAGATTATTGCCCCTCACCTGTATCACTTGTATCAATTGTATCACTATCCACTACAGAGGCTTGCAGGGCATCTTTGTCAAACCCCTCAAAGTCCATATAAGTCCATATCCTCACTATAATTATCACTATCACTGACTTAGGCCGGCTGTGGTGGGTGGCGGGTGAAGAACTCGGTAATGTTTTGATGACTGGGCAACCTTGTGCGCATCCTGCCCGCGCCGCTTCCCGCGTATATGAGTAGATGCACCGCGGAAAGTGAAAGTTCGGTTCTGGCGAGGCACCGCGTAAATGAGAAATCGCGGAAAGTGAAACCGCGTAAAGCGGGGTAATACTGTAAATATATATATAAGTACTTTACAGTAGCTAGCAGGACCCCCTCACAAAGTTTTTATTTTTAGTGTATATACTGTACTATAAATACAAAAATACATAGTGTTGACAGCATGGGGTACTGGTACTCCATACAGTATTTCTATCTAATGTACAAAAATATCCTTACAATTTTACACTTAAATATTTTAGTTAAATCTTTTATAAAATTCACTGTGTTTTATATTACAGACTTTACTAATCCTTGTGGACAGTCATGAATCGTCTGTTTGGTCGTGGTAAGCCCACAGAGCCACCCCCAAACCTACAAGATTGTATTGGAAATGTGGACAGTAGAGCAGAGTCTGTTGACAAGAAGATTGCCAGGTTGGATGCTGAGCTTGTGAAGTATAAGGATCAGATGAAAAAGGTAATACAGTGTACATTATTTTTAATTATGTAGCTTTTGTAAATACATTCTAAAGTGTTTTTTAAGGGAAAACATGTATTTCATGCATGTAAATACAGTACAGTATATTACAGTGTACTCTTGATTTAACGGAATCTGATTTAATGAACTCTTGATTTAGTGGAAAACATTTCCGTTATTTTTCGCTCTGTTTAGTGAACTAGTTCGCTAAATCGAGATTAATTACGTTAATATGCTCACACCTACGGAGACTCCTCAGACACATGATACAGTAGAACCTACTTCAGCCTAGGGTGAATGTACTAAATGTATAAAAACGATAAATAGCAATAGCACCTTGATCCATGGGTTGGATGATAGAGGTAGTGTTAGGTGGAATGTACACTACCTTAACATGAGGGTGCAGGTCGTCCAGGTGTGGTGGGTGTCCCGGAGCATTATCTAAAATTAATAAAATATTGAATGCAATCCCTTGTTGCAGACAATACTCCTTGGCTTGTGGAATGAAACAAGTCAGGAACTAATCCTCAAACAGTACTAGGGTCATCCATGCTTTCTTATTATTGCGATAAAACACTGTCAGTGTAATAATAGTAATAATAATGATTAACGGTTTATTGAAAAAGTCGGCAGCCCGAAGGCTGAAAATATACATTGGACAAAAATGACTTATTACATACAAAGACATGGGGTGGGTGGGTCGTTTAACAAAAGCTTTCATTACTGAAAGAAGAAGGAACATGAACTGAACATACAAATTATTATAAGTTTATAGTTGATGGCCCCGGCCTGGACTGGTCATGGAGACACCAGGTGGTGTGGTGTTCACGTGGTGTAGTAACTCGTCCTCGGGTGTTGACATGAAGAACCTCACGTGGTCATGGGGACACCGGGTGGTGTGGGGTGGTGTCATAGTACCCCACCCTAATGGGTGGTGTTGTGTTATTTCGAAGTCAGGTGTGAAGCCGACCCACTTTTGTTCTCAGGGTGGGCTGATTAGCACCTCCTTGTCAGAAGGTGGCAGTCTGTTCCCAGGGGTGCTTAACTCACTGGTGGGTCACGGTTATCACTGGTACTGTTTAAAAGCCCTTGGGTTCTCTGAATGATATATTATGAAGGGCTATATCTTGAAGCCAGCTACATTCCCCCCCAACAGAAGTGTGATTCGGTCCTTGAATGCCTTGAATCCCAGCATGGTTTTCTCCTCTTTGTGGATGTATGTCCGTTCTGGCATGCGCTTCCATAATAAGCCAGTTTCATCCACATTAAATATTTGTTCAGGCAAATAACTTCCCTCCTCGATGACACGATCTAGCTCCTCCTTAAATGCTTCAGCAGCACCCACATCAGCACTAGCTGCCTCTCCACTCACCTTTACACTATGCAAACTGTAACGAATGCAGGGCACAGAGGAATGACTTCTAGCTATTGCCATGTTTTATGATATATCAGACATATACTGTACAGAGGTCCCTCGGTTAACGAATTACCTCCCATAAGGATCTTCATTTCGGTTAATGAGCAAAATTTTGATTAACGAAATCCTTACGAACAACACGTTTTGTTGTGAGCATCAGCTGATCAGCTGATGGGCTAGTCTGCCAATTCAGTAAGCTGTTCTATCTTTACATTCGTTTCCAGTGGAGTAAATATTAAGAAAGTTGTGCTCTTTAATATTTATGCATTTTTTATATTAAAATTATTAGTCATTTTAAAATTTAGTTAACATATTGATAATATATGCACTACAGGGAACTAGTTTTTTGTGCGGCCATCAGCCGCTTAACTCGGCCACCAGGCGTCAGTTTGGCTTTGTTGACAGTGGAGTGAGCATCGATTTTGTTGGTGTCTTGGAAATTTTTTGCATTTCTTTAAAATTATTGGTCATTCTGAAATTTAGTTTACATATTGATAATATAGTATAGCGCAGTGCAGTGTTGATTTAAATAAAATAATCTTGAATTACACTTAGTGAACTTAAAAATTTTATTGATGAAATTACTGCATCAAGCATGGGTCCCCTGAAAGGGATTTTCTCCTCCATCCCCACTTCCTTCCTTCTCCTCCACCCCAACTTCTAATTCCCATCATCAACCAGGAACCTTCTACATACACACCTCAAAGTAAGTGTACATTACTGCATTTTTTTTTTTACTTTGTACTGTATGTACTTTTCTGTGAGCTGGAACCAATTACCCAATATCCCATTGAAACAATGGTTTCGGTTAACGAAATTTTCAGTTAGCGAACTACTCTGTGGAACGAAATGTGTTCGTTAACCGAGGGACTGCTGTATTATATTTAATGTACAGTAATTCCAAAATTCATCTTTGAGTTTGTGAGTTTGACCACCTTACATTTTGTGTGTTGGTGTCACTCACCACACAGCCAGTGAGTCAGATGTTCAGTCCACAACTACACCCATTTTATAGGCTGGCTTTGCAAATTAACATTAGTCACCCCCAGATCATTTTTATCAGCTATTAAATTTTTAATTTTAAATCACTCTATTTTATTGAGTCATTTGGTAGGTACACACAAATAAAATTAGAAATATGGTAACACAATTCACTTGATGACGGTAGCCAATCATGACGTAAACACCACCACTCCACAACCCTTACAGTCAGACATTTATTGAGTGATATGCTTGAAAGGTATTTTAGTAAGCCACTGAACAAGCAGGGATAGATTGATAGTGGTGGTGATACATAACCTTTGCATATAATTGTGTTAGAAGCTCTTTATATAACTATTTTCTCATGGTTAGGGCAAATAAACTGCCCCTTAAGCATGGTAAAATAATCGTCTAATGTATATACAAATGTTGTTTGAAGTTAGCACAATTGTTGAGCAACATAATAAAGGCATGTGGTATGGTTTATGAATGCTGGGAAAGAAGGTACAGCGAGAGTATGCGAGTTTTCCTCTGTACTCTGTAAGCTGCCCCTAATGGGCTGTTTAGCCCGTGGAACTCGCTTTTCATTTATCAGGACCCCAGCACTTGTTGTATGCCCTGTTCACCCTGCTTTTATTTGATTTCATTCTTTTACATTGTTATGTCATTAATTTTTTTCTTAACCCTTAAGCCCCGGGTTAGGGTACTGGTGGCAGTACCCCCCACCCGGGGGTAAATCGAGAAAAAACAGATTTTCCAAAAATAATTTTTAACCCTTTAAAATGATAAAACAATAAAAATTAATTAAGATAAACTATATATTGACCCTCGAGAAACTTCTCTGGCTGCGCAGAGGGAAGGAGGAGGGGGAGAGATGAGGAGACGGTATTGGTTTGACAGCTGACGCTCGTGGTCCCTCGGCACTTAGCAGCTATTTTTAGCTCGCCTCTGTGTCCGAAGTGGCCAATAATGTATGTATTTAGTGAACTTAATACTTAATTGCTATAAATAATTCATTTAGAATATTTTATTTGCATAATTTTTCATAAAAAGTGCTTGGCAACAATCACCAGTCGGTCGCCAGGCTATCTGGCTGTCTTTGTGTTTGGTAGAGCAAGTAATGCATAAAATAATAATATTTCCACAAATAAATACATTTATAACATAATCATAGCATTGTTTTACAGTAACACTGCACTACAATACAACTACACAACTTTTAGCAATATTACTTTGATAAAACACTAAAATCGACAAACAATGAAAGTTAAACAAACAAAAGTAGGTAATTATGTTCAGGAAGCTTCCCAGTGGCCAAGGTGTGGCGTGACAGGCAAATAGTCACACGGGAACCTGATAACCCGCTCTGGGCATTTAAACAGTGGCGGGAATAGGCGCGCGTTCTGGAAAGTCACCCGGGGACCGCTGGTCAGACGTTCTGGAACGTCACCCGGGGTTTAAGGGTTAAGTAAAAACAAGTAATGTGTGATTTTTATAAGGAAATTCTGAATTGATGTGCCCCACTAAATTGAACTGTAATTTACCTCAAAAACTTTAGCATGGAAATGTTTCATGGTTTCAAGAATACCTGAAAATTCACAAATCCAACATGCTTTCAGTTCCAACATTGCTGCTGCTTTTTTTTTTTTTTTTTTTAAGGTTGTAATATACAGCATGAAAATATATCTGTAGCTGCTAGGAAACACCCATAAAGTGGTAGCCATCAGCATGACAAACAGATGAACAGACAGTCCCAAAGTAGTACATTACATAATGTTTCACAATTCCTTGTAGGACATAAAAAGACAAATATCGCTGTTGAATTAAAGTTAACAACTGTAGTGTTTTATTTTTTGTATATACTTTCAACAGATGAGAGAAGGTCCTGCAAAAAATGCGGTGAAACAGAAAGCATTGCGTGTCTTAAAACAGAAGAAAATGTACGAACAGCAGTCATCTAACTTGAGAAACCAGAGCTTCAACATGGAACAAGCTAACTATGCCACTCAAACCCTCAAGGATACTAAAACAACTGTTACTGCCATGAAGCTTGGAGTTAAAGAAATGAAAAAGGAATTTAAGAAAATTGACATTGATGAAATTGAGGATATTCAGGTAAGACGTTACAGTACAGAACATTTTGTAAGGCTCTCTATACTTATTTGCAAAGTTCATTTGATTTCTCATAAGATTCAGCTGTGTATATTTTACATGTTTGAGAATAGAAAAGAAGCTCTAGTAAATATTTTTATGTGAATGGTTATCAAAATATGAAGGACTGTAGGGATTGACATTAATTTCACAGAGTACACCTACATAGTCAGTTGATTGTTTTATTTCTCTTGCTAGATATTTTTTTCAATCATCTGAATGTTATTTGGGGAGCAAAGTGATAACGATAGCTAAAAAAGAAACACAGTGACGATTGCAGTTTTTGTGCATGTTTGGCCAAAGAAATATTGATCTTTGAACATCAGATTACAGGTATCCCCAATTTACGATAGAGTTGTTTTCCCAGAATCCCTAATGTAAATTGGGTTAGCGTAAATCAGGAGTCTTTAGCATGAGTGGTGTGTGGTGGGTATAATCAGTGGTTCCCAACCTTTTTTTGGCTGCGACCCTAAATTTCCCAACAATATGGTGTATTGACCCTCAGGCATATCATATATTATATAGCTTGAATTTTAAACAAAATTTTTTTTGATTATGATAAGTACCTGTACTGTATTGTATTTCTATTTATGAAATACAGATTATTAATGAATTTATGCCAGTACTGTAGTATTCCAGTTATATAAAAAAATCTATACTTTTGGCATGCATTTAGTGTCATCTTGAATCAATGTTTTTGGGGTAAAAAATAATTTTTACAATTTTGTCAAAATTAATGAGTTTGGGTAAAAAATATTTAATTTTGAGCAGGTTTATGATTTTCAAGCCTTACAGACCCGACCTCAATCATGTCAAAGCCCATCCCAATAAGTTTGTCTTAACATCTTAATCATACACACCATAAAATAACACATGAAAATTATTTCCAACAGGATGACATGTCTGACATGTTGGAGCAGGCAGATGAAGTTCAGGAGGCACTAGGTCGCAGCTACGGCATGCCTGAAATTGACGAAGATGATCTGGCGGCTGAACTGGATGCCCTTGGTGATGAGGTGATGTTCGATGAGGACACATCCTACCTAGATGATGCTATCAATATTCCCAATGCACCAGAAAAAGAACCAGGAGCAGAAACTGTGAAAGATGGCATGCCAGTGGATGAATTTGGCCTTCCACAGATGACAACTTAGTAATCAGGAAATAACTCTCAAGAAATGAGTAGAGAATGCCGGCACCTTTTGTATGATAAAATGGGTCACCATATAATCCATGATTGGTAATGGGTTAGTAATTATTTTATTTCTTGTAAGACTTACAGGATATACAGAGAAAAATTCACTATGATTCAGAATTACTGAGAGTGTAATTCATGGTCATTATCTGCTCTCTTAACTTTAAAAAGTGAAACAAAAACATGATTTTTAAATTCATGACCACTATGCACAATTAATATACGTATGGAAGACTTGTGAAGCTTGTGTGTCGGCTAGAAGTGGCAGTATTAATTGTAGCCTGTGGAACCGGTGTCAGTCATTTAGCAGTCCCCTGTCATCTTCGACTCTTCATAACCTGAAAATTTAAGTGTGTAATTTCTGTAATTATATAATATTTAGCCGAGTAAGTTGATTACAGATGGAGTTACTCAACAGAAATAGCCTTTTAGCATTGTATTTTATCAATTGAAAAAATTTCAAGGCTAGAAAAAATAATACACAATTACAGTAAGTCCTCGCTTAACGTCGGGGTTACGTTCCTGAAAATGCGACGTTATACGAAACAATGTTAAGCGAATCAATTTTCCCCATAAGAAATAGATAAAATATGGGAGTTACGTTCCTGAGCCTCCCTTTGCCCCATGAAATACATTACATAAACAGAAAATCATTGCCAATTCTATAGAAAATAATGCATACATATACAACAACCAAGTTTGTATTGGTACTCACCGATGGGCGGAGGTAGTAGAACGAGTGTGTGGTGGGTAGTGAAGCTGTGGAGGTGGATGGCGGGAGCGGAGGAGGAGGGTGGTGAGTCACTGAGACTCTGCGGCTGCCTCCTCCTTCTCCTCCTGCGCTGGCTGGGGTTCCTCCTCCATTGTTGTTTGCTCCTCCTCCGTTGATGTTTGCTCCTCCTCCGTTTTTGTTTGCTCCTCCGTTGATGTTTGCTCCTCTTCCGTTGATGTTTGCTCCTCCTCCGTTTTTGTTTGCTCCTCCTCCGTTGATGTTTGCTCCTCCTCCGTTGATGTTTGCTCCTCCTCCGTTGATGTTTGCTCCTCCGTTGATGTTTGCTCCTCTTCCGCTGATGTTTGCTCTCTCCGTTGATTCATGTTTTGCTCTCCTCCGTTGATGTTTGCTCCTCCTCCGTTGATGTTTGCTCCTCCGCTCGTTGATGTTTGCTCTCTCCGTTGATGTTTGCTCCTCCTCCGCTGATGTTTGCTCCTCCTCCGTTGATGTTTGCTCCTCCTCTGTTGATGTTTGCTCCTCCTCCGTTGTTGTTTGCTCCTACTCCGTTGTTGTTTGCTCCTACTCCGTTGTTGTTTGCTCCTACTCCGTTGTTGTTTGCTCCTCTTCCGTTGTTGTTTGCTCCTCCTTGTTGTTTGCTGTTTTTGTTTGCTCCTCCTCCGTTGATGTTTGTTCCTCTTCCGTTGTTGTTTGCTCCTCTTCCGTTGTTGTCCTCTTCCGTTCCTCTTCCGCTGTTGTGTACTCCTCCTCAGCTGTTGTTTGCTCCTCTTCTCCCTATACATCTCGGTGTAACAACCAAGACTTTCATCAATGCTGCATTGAATCTTTGAGCAAACATCTATAAGGATTTGCAAACCTTGCTGGATCATGTTGAACACTTCTGCCATCCTCTTGGTAGTTAGCGTTCGTTGAGGTTGTTCGTCGTCTTCAACGGGAATGTGTTCTGTTCGTTGTTGCAAATCCTCATTGGTGATCTCTTTTGTATGGGATGCCAGGACGTCCTCAATATCCTCTGATTACAGCTCATCAAAGCCTGCCTGTCTAACCAAGCAGAGGATGTCCCTATTCACTGCTGGGACTAAGTCCATGAATCCCATAAAACTGTTGACATACTCTGGCTACAATTTACCCCACACACCATTCAGGCAACTTTCTGAACCCTCTTCCCATGCCTTGCCAATGTTGTCAATTGCATAAAGAATGTTGAAGCCACGCCAATATTCTCGGATCATGGGTTTATTATCTCCATCTGTAGCCTCGAGCAGCTGGGCCATGTTATGGTGTAAATAATACGCCCTGAATGCGACAATGACGCCTTGGTCCAAGGGCTGCATCGGTGCTGTCGTGTTGGGAGGCAGGAATACAACTTTTACACTGTCATGCAAGTCGTCGAGATTGGGAGGACGAGCTGGAACATTGTCAAGGATCGGAAGAATTTTGAAGTCAAGGTTCTCCTTGGCCTAGTATTCCTTCATTACAGGGACGGCGTACACGATTAACCACTGGCTAAATATGGCACCGGTTATCCATGCCTTGTTGTTTGCTTTGTAGATCACAGGAAGGTGATCCTTGGAGTAACCATTCAGGACCCTTGAGTTAGCAGCGCAAGAAATCAGCATAGGCTTCAGCTTGAAGTCGCCGGCAGTGTTCGTGTCAAGCAGCAGCGTCAAGCGATCTTTTGCTGCTTTAAAACCTGGCACTCTTTTCTCCTCCTTGGAGATATAGGTCCTTTCAGGCATCCTCTTCCAAAAGAGACCATTCTCATCCACATTGACGACTTGCTTTGATGAGTAGCCTCCTTCCTTTATAATCCGTTTGAATTCTGGTGGGAATGTCTTGGCAGCAACCGTATCTGAACCGGCAGCTTCACCAGTCATCTTAATATTGTGGAAGTTATAACGATGATTAAATCGTTGAAACCATCTTCGGCTGGCCATAAAGGTCTCTTCCTTCGATCCTTCACAACCTCTTCTGCTTTTATGTCTTCAAACAAGGATCTGGGCTTATGCTGGATAACCAAAAGACTCACAGGGGCATTGCGTTGATTCTGGTCCTCCATCCACATTGCCAGCATCTTTTCCACCTTTTCTCTCACAGTGCTTCTAGTACGAGTTGTCTTAGTAGCACTCAGAGAAGAACCACTTACAGCACTAACCTTAATCTTGTCAGCGTTGGTCTTGATAATACGCACCGTTGTGGGGGCTAGACCAAGCACAGCGGCTATGTCCACAGCACATTCCTCATTTTCAAATCGGGTTAATACAGTGGTCCCTCGGTTAACGAACACAATTCGTTCCAGAAGGTCGTTCGTAAACCGAAAATTTCATTAACCGAAACCATTGTTTCAATGGGATTTTGGGTAATTGGTTCCAGCTCACCGAAAATTACATACAAAGTAAAATTAAATGCAGTAAAGTACACTTTTTTTGAGGTGTACATGTAGAAGGCTCCTGGTTGATGATGATGATGATGGGAATTAGAAGTGGGGGTGGAGGAGAAGGGAGAAGAGAAGGAAGTGGGGGTGAAAGAGAAATCACCCCATGCTTCATGCCATCTTTTC